CCGTCCTAAGTGCAGGACTCTGCACTTGTCCTTGTTGAACCTCATCAGGTTTTTTTCTGCCCAATCCTCTAATTTGTCTTGCCCCTCAGCTCCAGCGCCAGATGGCCGGGGGCAGGGGGCAAGGCCCCAGCCCTGATGCACCGCAGCCTCAATGCCCACAGCCCCTGGGCAGTGTGGCCATCGCACCTCCAGCCCCAGTGCTCAGGCAGCCAGTCTCGGAGTGCTGGGCCGGCAGCACTGCCCAGCACCAGCCGCCCTGGCAGCCCCAAGTCCCTGCAGGAGGCATGCTGGCATGGGGGTGGGGCCACGGTAGGTTGTTTGGGGAGGCAAAGCCTCCCCTTGACTACAATACCCGCCGCCCATGGTTCTGAATGTGCTGCAGGGGAGGCTGGGCATGGATCTGCTCAGTCTGCAGCATTATTAAGGACTTCAGCATCTGCGTTTGCTCCTCCATTACTTTAATCATCTGCTCAGTAGCATTCTTAAACTCCTGATTTTCTTTTCTGTTCTGCCTTTCGGCTTCCCACCACTCCTTGCGTTCCCTTTTCTCTGCATTGGAGAAGTGCAGTACCTCCCAGAACATGTCTTCCTTGCTCTGTCTTGGGAGCTTTCTTATCTAGTGGAGACGCTCGGCTGGTCTGTGTGGGGTGTTCCTGAAGGCCACATCTGCCGAAGCACTGGGGATGATGCACAGAAGTGGGATTGTTAAATTCACACACAGGATTCAAACATTTCAGTAAAATAAACCTTTTGCAATATAAAAATCACTTTGTCACTGACCCTTGGCAGGCACATATCTCTGCGAACATCCAAAGCATGGTGGCGGGGGCAGGGCAAGGGGGCGTTCCACATGGGGAAAAGAGCGCTCTGAAAGGGTTGTGGTTCAGCTGACTAGTGAAAAAAATCTAAAATTCTCCCACACTTTTCCACAGGTGGGGGTCATTCTAGCAGACATCTCACTGCTAAGCAGGGCCGGCTCCAGACACCCAAGCACATGCTTGGGGCGGCACCTGGCAAGGGGAGGCAGGGGGAGCGCGGCACGGCATTCCGCGGGGGGAGGCGCTGGGGGGGCGGGCTCT